CGCAACCTCCGTCGCCCTCTGCCTGGTCCGAAAGGCTCGTCTTGCCTTCTCCGGGCCATCGCTGTCCTCCCTTCCAGGCCCCTCTCATGTAGACTCTAACCTCACTCAACAGATGTTCACGGAGTGCCTGCTACGTCCTGGGCACGCTCGTCCCCCAGATGACTCCCCTCCATCTCTTCCTTTCCGGTCCTTCTACCCGCGCCTGGCACGTTGTATTAGTTTGCGAAGGCTGCTGCAACAAAAACCACCGACTGGGGGGCTTCAAACACAGAAGCTTAGTTCCTCACAGTCCTGGAGGCTGGGAGTCCGGGATCAAGGTGTGGACAGAGCTGGTTTCCTCTGAGCCTCTCTCCCTGGCTCACAGATGGCCATCTTCTCCCTGTGTCCCCACGTGGTTGTCCCTCTGTGTGTGTCTGGGTCCTAATCTCGTTTACTCATAAGGACGTAAGTCATGATGGATTAGGGCCCATCCTAATGACCTCAATTAACCTTAATCACCTCTTTAAAGGTCCTGTCTCCAAGTACAGTCACATTCTGAGGTTCTGGGGGTTAGGACTTCAACATATGGACTTTGGGGGGACACAGTTCACCCTTAACACACGTTCTTGGCTCTCTCCATGCCTTCTTGCCTGAACTAATAACAAAACAACAACACTCGTCCCCATGTGTCAGGGACTGTGTTCAGCGTTTTACACACATTAACCCATTGATCGCTTCCAGTCTGGGAGGCAGGTACAACTATTACTTCCATTTTACGGAGGAGGAAACTGAGGCTCACAGAGGTTGAGTAACTGCCTTTGAGAGTGCAAGCCCTGTCTGGGCAGGAACACGTCTCTAATCCCAGCATGACATGTTATGCTGGACAGACAGACGTGCCCAGTGCCCCCGGTAGGAAGTAGGGAGGTAGATTTTCTTTTTTCTTCTCTTGTGGAAGATTAGCCCTGGGCTAACATCTGCTGCCAATCCTCCTCTTTTTGCTGAGGAAGACTGGCCCTGAGCTCACATCCATGCCCATCTTCCTCTACTTTATATGTGGGATGCCTACCACAGCATGGCTTTTGCCAAGCGGTGCCATGTCCGCACCCGGCATCCAAACCAGCGAACCCTGGGCAGCAGAAGCGGAACGTGTGCGCTTAACCGCTGCACCACCGGGCCGCCCCAGGAGGCAGATTTTAAACCCAGGTCACAGCACCCCAGCGTCCATGCCCTAACCACTATGTCTCCTCCTTGGTCTCCTTCGTTTGTCACCACTCCAGGGAATCTCCACCCAGGAGCCAGAGTGGCATTTGTAAAGTGCACACTGTTTATCACTTCCTTCATGTATCACTTCCTTTGGGGGCTCTGACTGCTCTCAGGATGAAGCCCACGCTTCTTACCCTGGTGTCCGAGGCCCTGCATGGGCGTCCAGCTCCCACCAACCTCTCTGCCCTGGCACCTCCCCTCCTCCCCTCAGCCCTGGCACCAGCCCTGCTGAACACTGGCACGTCCCCAAGCTCACCACGCTCTCTCTTGCCTTTGTGGCTCCAAAGCCAAGGGCTTTCACAGCGCTCCTCAACTTCCGTATCAACAACCGATGCCTTCTCAAGGCCTCTGCCCGCCACCGCACTACTGCCGCGAGCCCTTTTTGCACACACTGTGCCCGCTGCCCGTGCTCCACACTCCACCATGGAAGCCCTCTGTCCTCCAAGGCCCAGCCCAAACCCCTCCTCCTCCAGGCAGTCTTCCTTCTGTGTCTTTCCAGCACATGACCTGTGTGGCTATGATGACATCATGCCAGTGTGTGTCTTGTTCCTCCAAGTCACAGACTAAGAGTCCCTCCTGGGCCATGATAGGGTCTTCTTTATTACAGTGACTCCCGTGCCCTGCACAGGACTGTTTGATGAATGAATGAGTGAAAGAATTTTTAAATTAATATAAGTAGAAGAGAGGAGGCTCTTTCAAGGTGCAAAGTTCATCTTGCTTCACACCAGATGCTCTTCTGGAAGGACCACGGCCTGGGACAAGCTGGCATCATGGAGGCAAGAGGAGTGCTCACACCACAGATATATTTTGAAGGTTGAGCCACCAGGACTTTGCTGATGGATTAAATGTGGGGTGTAGGTAGGGGGGAATCAAGGTGGCCCCAAGTTCTGGCCTGAGGAACTGGAAGGATGGAGCTGCCCGTAACTGAGGAGGGCAAGGCTGCCAGAAGAGCGGGTGTGGAGGGGAGAGGGAATCGGGACATCGGTTTTAGGCCTTCTAATCCCCTTTCTTATAGTTGAGGCTCTGGAACCCAGAGAGGGAAAGTGGCTAGGCCAAGCCGCCCAGCTGCTCAGAGCAGTGGTCAGACCCCGGTGTTCTTCCTGCTCCCGACGGTGTCCCCTTGGGATCTGTGAGGCTGGTTCTCTGACAAGGGACCTGTCCCTGGGCTTCAGAGAGTTTGCAGGGCGAGCGGCACCTTCTCCCCCAGTGACACCTGAGGGGTGGCAGGGGAGCTGATTCGCAACCTCAGTTTAATGAACGTCCCCCAGTCCCACCAGCTGCCCAGTGACGTGCCGGGCATGGGGGACTGAGGGCAGTCAGACCCACTGGAACCCCTGTGTCAAGGCCAAAGGGTGGTCCGAGGACAGAGGAAGGTCAGTGGGGGCCCTGGCCCCGGCCCCTCATGTTTGGGGAAGCTGAGGCTTCTCCGAGGAGCAGGGGCAAACTGGTTTGTCCGTCTCTGGAATGCAGCCCGGCTGAGACATTAACCTCTCCTTATCTGTGCGATCTGGAGGCTGACAGGCTTGGGGGCGCCTCTCCTGCCGGCCCCAGAAGGCCTGTGCTGGCTCAGAATTGCTCTCCCTCGGCCACTCGGGCCACAGGTGCTCAGTCACTCCCACTGGCAACCCCCTCTGGCCAACGCTGCATGGGTCATAGAGGGGGGGATGAGAGCAGGCCCCGTGTGGGAAGGGGGAGCACTCTACAGCTCCCAGGCACCTCCCCCTCCAGCGTGCCCCTTCATCCCCGCCGCAGCTTGGGATGGTGGTCGTCACTGCACTTTACAGAGGAGACCCGGGGCTTGCAGGCTGCAGGGACATTCCCAGCTCCTGCCAGAACCTGAACCTGCGTCTGAGGCCGTGGGCTCTGTGCACGCTCTGCCACACTGAGTGTTTCAGGGGTTCGGGGTGGGGAGGTGGGCGCTGAGGATGGAGGGGGCGGGGTGGGCCAGGCCCCGGGTAATGGCTGGGCACTGGGAGCCTGGACTCCTCACCCCCAGCCCCACCCACCCCAGGCACTGCCCGGCCAGCTGGAAGGGTCCTCTGTTTGCATCCAGATCAACCCCGATGTGGTCTGGTGGGCAGACCAAGGCCCGGAGGGAAGAGCCGGGCGCAGCCGTCCAGGACCGCCCCAGCAGGGTCGGCTCAGAATCCCGTGTTCTTGCCTGAATTACTCCTCCCACTTCCCCATCTACACCCAGGCGGGCCGCTGACCCCTTTCTGCTGCCTGTCTCAGCTCACATACACAGGTCATGACCTTCAGGACCTTGACTCCCACCCAAGGTGAAGAGTCCTCTCCCAGAAAAGGGAAGTAATACCCTCCCCCCCACCCCCCCACCAGCCCCTGCCCCACTCCAGGAGCTCTCAGTTAAGGCGATGGGGACGACAAAAGCATAGGCCACGTGGTCAGGGCTAGAGAGGAGCATGAGGAGAGAGGTTCTGGGGGCCGAGGACGGACTTCACAAGCCCAACTGCCCTGGGGCTGGGCCAGCTTCACTCCTTTCTCTGCCACTTCCCTGAGCAGGTGATGGCAAACCCCACGCTTGACGGCAGTGCTAGCTTCTAACCCTTCCGACCACTTCCTCTGTGCTGGGCTCTCTCCTGAGTGCTCTGAAGGCATTGTCCCATTAATCTTCCCAAAAATGAGGTGGGGGGGGGGACAGAAGCTCTGATATCACCATCCTGTTTTACAAATGAAGAAACTGAGGCACAGAGAAGTTGAGCAACTTCCCTAAGGCCACACAGCTAGCATGGTGCATGTGCGAGCCTGAGGTCAGCAGAGGACCCTGGGGAACAGAAGGCTGAGTGTTCTAGAACATTCATTCCAGCCTTTCTGGAAACCATCAAGCCTGCCAGACACACTATGTGAGTCTGCAGAGCCAGCCACTCCTGCAAGGTCAAAACACATGAGTGAAACAGATTACTACAAGGACAACTGGATCCTTTCTAATTTACTCATTGTAAGAAAATAATGTCCAAACATCTCTGAGTACTTTATTATCGCTCACAAATTGGCGATGAGTCTGACAAACGACCCTCTGCCCCAGCTGTACACTCTTCTTAAACAGGAGGCAGCAGGCAGTGATGCGTGACCGAGGGACCCTAATGCAAAAGCCTGGGGTCCCCCCCACTCAGGGTCAGCCTGCAGGCTGGGAGGGCAGCTCCTGAGACTCTGGAAGAAGAATGATCAGTCCTCAGAAACTGCAGAGCTGACATGATGGGATGGGGGTGGGGGCCAGGGAGCCAGGGTACCGCACATCCGCGGCCACTCAGGCCCTAAGCAAGCATGGGGTGGGGGGCGAGGACCGCCACCACTAATGACCCAGGAAAGCTGCGTGGGGCTTCCAGCTCCCAGATTTATTCTCCTGGAATCCATTCCCCGACTGGCCATTCCGGGGTCATGTGTGACCCAGGCTTATCCCTGCCCGGGGTTCTCACTGTCCACTGTCTTGGGAGAAGGAAAGAGTGGCCGACAGTGTGGACCGGGCCCCAGGGGTCTGTGCGAGCCCAGAGATGCCTGGCCCAGCCTGAGAGTCGGGAAGGCTTCTTGGAGGCGGTGGTACCTCAAGTGGGTCTTGAAAGGAGAAGAGAGGCGATGAGGGGCACGGAGCGGGGTTTTGGCGCGGCGGGGACCGCAGAGGGTGGGTGAGAGCCCCACAGCCGGGCCGGCCTGCGGAGCGCGGCGCCCCTCCCCGCCCGGCACCCCCACCCGCCGCCGGTGAGGCCGCGCGCTGGTGTCGGGCGCCCCCTGGCGGCGCCCTGCGCGGTTCGGACTCGGGGGCGCGGGGTGGGGCGGGGATGGGGATGCTGCCTCGCCCACCCCGCGGCGGACTTCAGTAAATTCCGTTAGAATCAGAAGAGAACGAACTTTTACGTAGAAGAAAATGTCTTAGTATGTAATTTTGATACATTTGTCTTTTCAAGGCAGTCGTAAAATACTTTTAATTTTTTATTATTATTATTACTATCATTAGCATTATCATTATCTATGGAGGAAGGGTCCGACAAAGGTGAAAGTGCCCAGGGTCCAGGAAGGTCACACCGCGGCAGGGTCTGGGCCCGCCCTCTCTGACCCCGTCCTCCAAGGGGGATAACATGGTGGGTGTGAAGGTTGGGGAATTTGGGCGAGAGAAGATGGTAAGAAGAGTAGCGCCCCTGGAGTCAGCGCCATCCTTGACTCCCACTCCCGCTGCTGTCCCGGGGCAGACACCATGCGCCTTCTCTTTCAAACCGTGCAACGAAGAATACTGAACTCGTCCTGCGTGCCGGACTGCACCCCAAGACAGGGCGGCGGACGGGACAGAAGCGCTGTGCTGATGGAGGCCACCTTTTAGTGGGGACACAGTCAGTAAACCTAGGAAGGTCTGCCGGGTTCGGGGCGGTGAGGGCTCACGGGTGGCTGGAGCAGGTGAGGGAAGAGAGAGAGGCGGGCCAGGTGCTTTCTCACAGGTGGCTGGGGAAGGCCATGGGAGCTGAAGGAGGCACAGAGGGAAGCCCCGGGAGGCTGGGGAAGAGCATTCCGGGCAGAGAGGGCTGTGGAGATGAGGGAGGGGAGGGGTGATAGGACGTGATGAGGTCATCGAGGGGCAGGGGGTGGAGGGTGGGGGCGCAGGGTCTTGTGGGCCCGGGGTGCAGAGGTGGACCCCTCCTCACAGGAGAAGGGAGCTGCCCGAGGGCAGGGTCTGGCTCTCGGAAGCCACTCCTTTGCTGCTGGGTGGACGTCAGGCTGGCCGGAGGGTGCAAGTAGGGAACCCAGTTAGGAAGCCATGCAGTGGCCAAGGGTGGGGCGTATGTCCCCTCCTCTCCACCCCCCTGCCTTGGACCCCCTCTCTCCTAGGCCACTGGGATCAACACCCCACAGGTCTTGCTGCTTCTGGCCCTTCCTCCATGTGGTAGCTCGGGAGGGACCAGGTGTGGACATGCATGTCCCAATGTGCCACCTCATTCCTTAGGGTTGTAAGGAAGCAAACCTAAGAGGAACAGTTACTGGAGCCCCTCCACTGTTTCTAAGTCAGGAAGTGCCTTGGAGCTTCCTGGAGACCAAAGCATGAAGAGAAATGGAGTCTGTTTGTTTTATTTGTTCAGTGCACGAGAATAGTAAGGAGTCAGAGGTGAGAGATTCCTCTGACTCCCCAAGATGCCTGGGGTCTCAAAGTTCCCCAGAGTGGACTTGGTTGAGCCACAAGAGCGCAGAGCTCTGGGCAAATTCTGAGTCACAAGATGGAACCTGTTTCTAGAGCCTCCAAGGGCTCACATTTCCTATCTGATCTTGGTAATTAACAGCTCGGAGGCAAAGAGGAGGTGTATCCTCAGGGAATCCTGGAATATCAGGACCCCTAGAAAGCATCAAGCCTACCTCCCCGTTACAGATGGGGAAACTGAGCAGGAAGCGAGGAAGGGATGTGGCCAAAGTCAGTTCTGCAAATATTTACCCACAGCTGGACTGACTCACGCACTGAGCTACAGATGTAAGGCCAATTCCCCCGCGTCCCCCAGGAAGAGGGGAGACGGGCGTGGGGGCAGAGAACTCGGCTCACATCACCTCCAGGACAGCCTGGCTCTGGGCTGTGCCTCACAGACTCAGCAACCTAACAAAGAAATAAAGGATAAAGGAGTCTTTGCATGGTTCCTGCTGCCCTCCTCACCCCCACCCCATCAGCCAGGCCCCTAGGATCATCTGTAAAATGGGACAGTGACACTGCATATGATGCTGTGGTGTCCATCATGAATGAACGGAGCTATCACGGCTCTACGATAAAGCCCTACACCTGGTGTGTAAGGCTCGTCTCGGCCACCCCTGGCCACCCCTGGACACAGCCCGACTGGAGGGCCTTTATTTGGCCACCTGACAAGGGTCTACAGGAGCAAATCTGCGTCACCCCTACTCAAACCCGGCCCAGCTCCCTGTCAGTTCTCCTGGGCCTTACCCCCAGCCCACAGAAGGTGATGCAGTGAGGAGAGAAACCGGGAGGGTCAGCCAGGCCAGGTCCAGAGGGGCCCGGTGGCCTCAGCTCCAGCCGCCTGCCACTATCCTGACAGGAGAGGCCAGACGCAGCCAGCCATTTGCCTTTTTCAAGTAAAGTCAGAAATACAGATTTAGAAAAAAATTGAAATCACTCCATTTTTGAGATTGGCAACTAACTCACATTTCTACTTTGTGTGCACAGATTTTTGAAGCACGATTGCCGTGCAATAAACCACACATGCTTGAAGTGTGCAACTTGATGAGTTTGGCACATATGTGAAGTTTGACATATGCAGTCACGCGCCACATAGGGACACTTTGGTCAACGATGGACCACGTACACGACAGTGGTCCCATAAGGTTAGTACCCTATAGCCTAGGTGTGTAGTAGGCTGTACCGTCCAGGTTTGTGTAAGTTCACTCTATGATGTTCGCACAATGACGAAATCGCCTAACGACGCAGTTCTCAGAATGCGTCCCTGTCATTAAGCAACGCACGACTGTGTATGTATATATATCCGTGAGTCCAGCACCACAGTCAAGATAATGACCATTTCCATCACCCCCAAGAGTTTCCTCATGCCCCTCTGTAATCCATCCTTCTTCATCCCCCACTTCCACCCCACCCCCAGTCAACCAGTGGTCTGCTTCTGTCACTATAGATTTGATTGCATTTTTAGAATTTCCTATAAATGGAATCATACCGCATGTTCTCCTTTTTGCCCGGCTTCTTTGGCTCAGTATAATTATTTTGAGCTTCCTCCACATGGTACATGGATTGATGGTTCATTCCTTGTTATTGCTGAGCAGTATTCCATTGTAAGGGTATACAATTTGTGGATCTAGTCACCTGTTGGTGGACAGTGGGCTGTTTTCCTTTTTTCCTTTTAGCCATTTCACATAAAGCTACTATGAACGTTCACGTACAAGTCTCTGAGCTCGTGCTTTCATTTCTCCTGGGTGAATCCTAGGAGTGAAACTGTTGGGTCGCGTGGTAGGTGTATGTTTAACTTCTTAAGAAACTTCCAGAGACGGCCCAGTGGCACAAGGGTTAAGTGCGCATGTTCCTCTTTGGCGGTCCGGGGTTTCTCAGTTCGGATCCCGGGTGAGGACATGGCACCACTTGGCAAGCCATGCTGTGGTAGGCATCCCACATATAAAGTAGAGGAAGATGGGCACAGATGTTAGCTCAGGGCTCAGGGCCAGTCTTCCTCAGCAAAAAGAGAAGGATTGGCAGCAGATGTTAGCTCAGGGCTAATCTTCCTCAAAAAAAAAAAAGAAACTACCGAATTGTTTTCCAAAGTGGATGGACGTTTGTATTCCCACCAGCGGTGTACGAGGGCTCCAGTTCCTCCGAGTCCTCGCCGACACTTGGGATGGTCAGTCTGTTTATGGGCCATCCTGGTGTGTATGGTGGTACCACGTGATGATGTCACAGTCCCTAACGATGACTCATGCTTTGTCCATTAAAAAAACTGATTGTTTATCTTTTTATTGCCTAGTCATAAAGGTTCTTTTTCTATTCTGCGTCAGGCATTTTCAACAGGGGCAGTCTTGCCCCCAAGGGGGTGAAAATTGGTTAAAACACACTCTTTTTATGTAGAAAGCAGGGATATACATACGGTGCAGAAACCAATATCTGCGGTATTAAATTTTCATGGGGGTGATCAGGAAAAAAAATGCCTAAGATGGCTCCTTGAGGAAGGAAAAAAGGCTGAGAAACATCATTTTAGAAAGTGTGCAGGTCCTTTGTTAGATATATGTTTTGCAAAGAGCAAACTCTAAAAAATTTGGATAAAGTCCAATTTGTCAATTATTCCTTCTATAGTTTGTGGTTTTTGTATCCTGTTTTAGAAATCTTTGCCTAAGTCAAGTCACTAAGATTTTCTCTTACATTTTCTTCTAGAAGTTTCAGTTTTAACTATTCCATTTAGGTCTATGATTCACTTCATAGACCTAAAAAAATTAATTTTTGTATGTAGTGTGACATAAGAGTCAAAATTCATTTTTTTGCGTCTGGACAGCCAACTGATGCAATGCTATTTGTTGAAACTTTCCTTTCCCCACTGAATTGCTTTGCACTTTTGTTAAAAATCAGTTGACCATATATGTGTGCATCTACTTCTGAACTTTCAGTTTTGTTCCAACTAATTCAAACATTATTTATTTATTTATTTATTTTTTGCAGGGAAAGATTCACCCTGAGCTAACATCTGTTGCCAATCTTCCTCTTTTTTTTTTTTCTCCCCAAAGCCCCAGTACATGGTTGTATATCCTGGTTTGTGAGTCATTCTAGTTCTTCTATGTGAGCCACCACCACAGCATGGCAAGTGATGGATGGGTGGTGTGGTTCTGTGAACAGGAACTGAACCTGGGCCGCCAAAGCGGTGAGCACGGACCTTTAACCACTAGGCCATCAGGGCTGGCTCTCGAATATTTTTAATATACTGTGTGGACCTTGAGAAGCCCATCTTAGGGCTACCTGCTATGGCTCCTGCCAGTCTTCTCACTTTGTCTCCCATGGGTCCTCCTTGCTGGCCCCTGGCCAGGTGTCTCCTGCCTCAAGGCCTCAGCTCCAGCTCCATCCTGGCTCCGAGATTCTCTCCTGGGCAGCGTCAGTCTCCTCCTCCTCGGGGAGGCCCCCTGCTGGCAGGCAGCCCAGCCTCCTCTCCCTGACGTCACTCCATTGATTTGGTTCTAGGAGCACTCGGTGAGGTCAGCAGGCACCGGATCACAAGGGGCATAGGCGGAGGTGAGGAATTGGGGTTTATTCTACATGAGATGGGAACAGGGATGGTGGGATCTGACTTCGACTTTGGAGATGTCGCTCAGGCTGCTGTGTGGAGATGGACTGAAGGGAGCAGATGCAGACCCCAGCCAGTGCACAGGCCCCGTGGCCACTCATCCTGCCTGTGTCACCAGAGCCATGCTTCCCTTGAGAACAGTGCCAAGAAGCGAGAAGGAAGATGAGCCCTGGCCAGCCTCCCTTGGGGTCTCCGGTGGTAGGAATCGGGAAAGATAGGGGCTGGCCCCGTCCCTCTGGGGTCATCTCTCTTGTCATCAACTCCCCTCTGGCCAGCAGGGGCTTGCAAACTCCTCTGATGACCGCACAGTCCTCGCACACTGGGTTCGCTCATTCATTCACTGACTAAATGCATATTTATGGAGCACATAACGGTGGTTGAAGAGACGTGACCCTGCTCTCAGGTCTCCAGGCTGGTCAGGGAGTGAGAGAGTGGCCAAGAAATCACCCCCAGGAATGGGTCCTTGTGGATCCAGCTGGGCTCTCTGAAGGACAGGAGCAGGTTCAGGGCAGAAACAGGGTTTCCAAGAGATCAGATGAAACAAGAGTTGGACCTGGTTCTGGGGTTTCTGGGGGCCTCCCTGGGGAAGTGATGGCTGAACTGGATCAGAAAGATGAGAAGACTTTCCAGGTGGAGGAACCAGCAGACATGAAGGTCCCTCGGCTGGAAGGACAACGGCCTGTTGAGAAACTGAAAGGCCAGTGGACGGGAGGGCAGGGCTGAGGGAGGAGGGCACGAGGGGGCCAGTGGGTCCTGTCACCTTCAGGCCAGGACTTGGGTCTGTATCCCAGGGCCCAGGAAGCCATCGGTGCTAATAGGGGAAGTGACACGTTCACATTTGGATTTTTGAAAGATCACCCTGATCCTGATTTGACACCCAGCTGGAAAGAATGTTTTGGGGACAATAAGAGAAATTTGAATGTGAGTGAGGTTTAGAAAGGATGATCGTTCATTTCATTAGGGGTGATGATGATATTGTGGTTATGGAGAAAAATGTCCCTTTAAAAAAATCCACGCACATATTGAAGCATTTAGGAGTGAGTGATCATCGTGTCTGAAACTGACTTTAAAATATTAAAGAAAAGGACAAATGAAGAAAATTAGGTGAGATATTAACAATTGCTAAATCTAGCTGATAGGTACAAGAAATGTCCATTATACTATTCACTCTCTTTTTGGGTTTATTTGAAACATTTCATATTGAAGAGGAAAAAAAATAATAGCAAAGAAAGAAAGAAGGGAACATAAATAGATCAATGATAGGTCAATGATAGATAGATAGATAGATAGGCAGACGGATAGACAGACAGATAGAAAACATCAACTTTGGTTGTCCAGCAGAAGCTGGATTGGAGGGGCCAGGCCTCCCAGGCTGGGAGTCCTCAAAGAAGAAGGCTGTTTGTGGTGGGAGAATTCTAAAATGATCACCAACGCCTTTGTATAATTTCCCCGGAGTGTGAGTGAGACCTATAGATATGATGGGATATTACTATAATGATGTTATATGGCACAAGGGAATTTTGCAGGTGTAATTAAGTTTCCTAATCAGTTGAGTTCATCAAAAGGGAGATTATCCAGGGTGGGCCTGAGCTAATCAGGTGAGCTCTTCAAAGGAGGAGTCCAGGGAAGTCAGAGAGAGGCACTCCTGTGGCCCTGAAGACACAGCCTCTGTAAATTCTACAGCTGCAAGGAAATGCATTCTGCCCAAAATGACGTGAGCTTGGAAAAGGACCCCGAGCCTCACATGAGACTCAGCCCTGGCCAGCACCAAGATTTCAGCCCATGAGACTCTGAGCAGAGAGCCCAGTTATGCTGGGCCTGAACTTCTGACTGACAGCAATTGTGAGAAGACAAGCCACCAAGTTTGTGATGGTTTGTTACACAGCAACAGAAAACAAATGAAACCGGCTCAACACAAGGTTGACATAAGGGAAGCCATTTTGTAGAAAAGAGACCATGTTGTAACTTTGAATGACCTCTGACTACCTAACCCGGCTGGATTTGCACCCTCCAGGAGATCCACCTGTTCTGTAGATTTTATGACCCATGCTGGTGCATATACCTCCCAGCTGCGCTAAGACGATACCTTCATTCTTTTGAGTTCCTTAGGAATGTGATGACCCCCAAACAGAGAGTCTATACTGATAGCCATCATCAATGAAACTGAAAGGTCTGATGTGGCAACTCCCAGTCTGTAACACCAGAGGGTCAACATTCCTAACCCCCTCCCCTATAACCCACTGGCCTATATAACTGCTTCAAGATTCTGTGCCCCTTAAGATGGTTCTTTTGGACATTAGTCAGCCGTCTCCCCCCTTGCTGGTAAGCTGTAATAAAATGCCCTTTCTCTGCCACGATCTTGCCTCTTGACGATTGGCTTTTGTCTCGGGGCGAGCAGACAGATTAAGGGTTCGAGTCCCTTCGTGGTCATCAGATTTTGTGACCACACAAAGGGCACGATCTGCTGGGAGGCATACGCACAAGCAGGGGTCATAAAATCTACAGAGCATGTGGCTCTCCTGGAGGGTGCATATCCAGCTGGCTTAGTTAGAGGTCGTTCAAAGTTACAACATGGTCTCTTTTCTACAATATGGCTTCCCTTACATCAACCTTGTGTTGAGCCCGTTTCACAAGTATATCATTAAAAGAGTTTTGGCGAAAGAACCAAAGGCTTGGATTAGGGTGGTGACAGTGGGGATGGGGTGGAGCAGAGGAACTTGAGAATACTTAGAAGATAAAACCACCAGATGGATTGGATGTGAGCGCGATAGGGACATGTGGGAAGACCCTAGATTTCTGGCTCGAGCAATTGTGAGGGGGCCCTGCAGGAGGAGGAGACCTGGGGACCAGGCTGAGGGGTCCTTTCAGGTGTCAGTGAACTTGTCAAGCAGTCAGCTGGGTGCAGCAAAGGCGAGGGCTGGAGGTGAGGCAGCCGTGCGCAGTCGTTGGGGTGTGATGGACGGTGGTGCCATGGGTGTGAGGAGCTGGGCCCAGGACGAGCCTCGAGGACCTGACTCTGAAAGTGCCAGAGGAGGCAGGGCTGGTGTCCTAAAAGTTGGGGAGGGGAGAGGCCTCAGGGTGAGGGGCAATGGGGTTCAGGCTGCACAGCACGTGGGCCACCAAGACCTGCCACTGCGACCTCTTCAATACGCTTGGACGCCGTGTCCTCCCCTCTCCCGTTCCCATGGCCACAACCCCAGCTCAGGACTCCCGGCCCCTCCTCCGGTCCCCTGCAGCAGCCTTGTCCTCCTCCCAGGCCCGCCTGACTCCAGTCCCTGCCGATTCTCCACAGTCGTCCCCACACTCGAATAGGAGATGATGCCACTGCCAGGAGCCCTGGGGCAGCTCTGGGAGGACAGCAACCACATCTGACTCACCCGCCTGCCAGGTCCCCTGTGGGCGCTGGTGACAAAATTGCCGATACTACTGTGATCTGTGCTATTTCTGTGGTCTGTAGCCTGCAATAGTAATGGAAAGAACGCTAAATTTAAGTTAGAAGCAGTGAAAATAAAGAGGTGAATTTTTTCCACCCAAGTTCACAGACCTCCTGAATTCTCTCTGCAGACACCTACTCAAGAGGAAGGGCTCCAGCTCCATCCCATGAATCAGTGTACTCTGTGAGCAGAAGAGCATCGCCAAGGAGGAAGAAAAGATCCATAAACAGCGGCAGCAGAATCGACAGGGTCATTCCGGGTGCAGGAGGACAGATGGGGCTCCAGCAGGAGGACGACGTGCATCGCCAGCCAGCCTGCCTGCCTCCCTCTGGTGAGGGAGGGCCTGAGCTGAGTTTGAGGGTCAGAGGGTGTTCTAGGCAGAGGGCGCCACAGGCATGATCTCTGGGAGGTCGCACCTCTCTGGGCCTCCATCTCCCGTGTGTGCCCAGACCAGAGGCCTCCTGGATCCTGCCAAGAGCTCACACGCTGCTGTCTGTCTCATTTTCATCTCCAGTAAGGAGGCCCCTGACAGCCACTGTGCCATTGAAATGCACCCTCGGTTAAGTAAGGGCTCATGGGGTACGTCCGTTTGGGTCACAATCCAATGTGGCCCCTCAGTCCTCTCCCAAGATGTATCTACCTGAACCCGAGAATGTGCCTTATTTGGAAAAAGTCTTTGCAGATGTAATTAAGTTAAGGCCCCCAAGAAGAAAGCCTCCTGGGTTTAGGGTGGGCCCTAAATCCAATGTCAAGTGTTCTTAAAGGAGAGAGGCAGAGGGAAATCTGATTTCTGTGAGGGGACAGGAATGCCACTCAGCAGGCTTCAGCAGGACGGCGAGCGTGCTGGCTCCTATAACGGAAAGACTGGGCTTCACTTTCCATCCCTCGGCCCCACTCTCCTCTGTGTGGGCTCCGTTCTCAGCCAGGCCACCCCTCCTGCTACCAAGGTGGCTGCCAGCAGCTGTCCTCATAGGAGCCCGCCGCAGAGACAACCAGAGTCCCGAGATTGGGTCTGATTAGACCAGACTTGGACCAATCGCTGAGGCCAGAGAGATGCTTTGCTCTGATGGGCCAGGCCCAGCTCCAGTGCTCACCCACATGGACTGAAATGGGGGCTGAGTGGGACCTAGGGGAAAAATCCAGGCCCGTGGGGAGAAGAAGATGGAATGGATGCTTCACCCACGAAGTAGCAGAAGCCAGTACAGCGGGTTGAATTGTGGCCCCTAAGGTCCCACCAAAGATATGTTTACCCAGAACCTGAGAACGTGAGAGACCTTATTTGGAAAAAGTCTTAGCGGATGTAACACAGTTAAGGCTCTCAAGATGAAAGCATCCTGGATTTGGGGTGGGCCCTAAATCCAATGTCGAGCATCCTTATAGGAAAGAGGTGGAGGAAGATTTGGGCCACAGAGAGGCCGGGGAGGAGGCCATGGAGCAGAAGCTGGATGCTGCAGCCCAAGCCAAGGAGCCCCCAGAAGCTGGAAGAGGTAAGGAAGGGTCCTCCCCCAGAGCCCCGGAGGGCTGGCGGCCCTGAAGATGCCTTGATTTCTGATTTCTGGCCTCTAGAGCGGCGAGGGAATAAATTTCTATCGTAAACTACCCGGGTGTGGTCATTTGTTAGGGCAGGCGCAGGAAACTCACACGCCCATGTCCGTCTCGTTTATGAGGTCCCATAAGCAGCATCTGGTTGTGACTCCCCAGGGTTGAGATCCCATACAGTGGCTGGGCCTCAAAACATGCCAAAACATTCTCTCTAATCCAGCCCCTTTCCTGCCGCTCCCAAGATGCACCACTGCTGCCAACACCACCATCACACCAAAGGGACAGCGGTGGTGTGACAGCTGTTGGGTTCTAAACATCTGGCAATGAGCCTTCACATAGTAAGTGCTAGATAAATCTATCAATACGACTAAAGTGAGATCAAAATATACAAACACAGGCACTGCCTTCTTCTCAAAGTATGTGGGCACCCTGGCTGTGTGTCCTTGAGTAAGCTACTTGGCATCTCTGAGCCTGTTTTCTCACCTGTAAAATGGGGAGGATAATGGTACAACCATGCAGTTAATGTGAGGATTAAATGAGCCGGATGCAAAGAACTCAGCACGTGCTGGGTGTTTAAGAAATGCGTCTCCCTTTTCTATTCCCTCCCCGACTCGAAGTAGAAGACAGTTGTTAATTTTCTTCCTTTCCTTCAACATTTACCTTCCAGGTGCAGGCCCATGCTGGGGGCTGGGAAGACAGGCCCATCCTCAGGCCCTTGTTGGCCTGAGTCGCTCTGCCCACATCATCTCAAACACAAACGGACCCTCATCAATTGTAAGTTTTTTCTAAAAAAAAAAAATTCTGAATGGATTTTTGTAGTTTTGAGACAGGAACCATCGGTAAGGCCCTGGGCCTAACAAGATAAGGCCCCTAACCAATCAGGAAGCTAGGAGAATCAGACCGAGGCCCCCAAGATCCACATCCCACGGCCTCCGGACTTCCCCCCGCTTACTCACGGCCCTAGCGCCTAGGAGTCCACTGAAGGTGACCCCCGCCGCGTTAGCATAGTAAAAATCACACCCAGGGTGGAGAGCTAGCGTGTTAATGATACATGCGTCGCATGAGGTGGCATGCTACGTGAAAGCACAGGCACCTCTGCATGCCGTGACAAGGGCCTCCTCCCCAGCCTTCGCCTCATAAAAGCCCCACAATCCCGCTCCCTCATGAGCCAGTCACCTGCCCCTTTCCTTTCCGCCCCGGCTCCCCTCTGCCTCCCCTGTGCACAAGCTAATCAACTTTTACTTTCTACTCCCCGCTTTGTTGTCGCTCTTGATTTCTACCCTGGCGGACAATAAGAACCCAATGTGCCAGTAACATCCTTGCCCTTGAATTCCTTGGCTACCTGACTCTGCTTGGATGACCTCGGAGAGGATACCTAACTTCTCTGTGCCTCACTGGCTCATCTGTAAAAGAGGGATAACGGTGTTCCTAAGTCGCAGAAGTCAGTGTCGGCCTTTACAAAAGTCATAAAACGACGACCAGCACAGAGTCAGTCCCACATACATTTGCTAATTAAGATAAAATACCAGGAACCTGTACTTTCTGACTTCTTATCTACTACCCAGCGTTCTCAGAATTCTTGCTCCGTGAGAAAGTCTAACCCACAGAGTTCTCAAACGGACTGAAACTTTTACAAATTCCAAATAAAAAATAAAGATGACGTAACGTTACATCTTGTAGGCTGCGTGTTTATGGATGAGCAAGTGACTTCCAGGCAGCAGGTCCGAGAGCAGGAGCCCGGGAGAGCTGGGAAAAGGTTCTCTGGTTCCCCGCCCGGCTTCACCCTACATAACTCCCATAATGTCCTGGTTGGAAAGGCCCAAGGGGCATCTGGTTCAGCCTCCTCTTCGACAGGCGGGAGGCTGGGGGCTCTGGAGCAGAAGGGACTTGCCCAAGCTCTAACTGCATTGGTCCCAGATCTTCCTCCTGATGGTTCAAAGCCTCTCCCTACTTCATCCCTGCCCACATTTCACTTGCCCCCCCACCCTTGACCTTAGGCACCCTGCAACTGTACCTCCTGGCAATGACCCCACTGCCTTGTGGTTCCATGACGTGGGCCTTCTCCTTTCAAAACTTATCATCCGGGGCTGGCCTGGTGGCACAGTGGTTAAGTTTGCATGCTCCGCTTTGGTGGCCCAGGGTTCACCAGTTTGGGTCCCAGGTGCAGACCTGCACGCCACTTATCAAGCCACACTGTGGCAGGTGTCCCACATATAGAGTAGAGGAAGATGGGCACGGAGGTTAGCTCAGGGCCAATCGTCCTCAGCAAAAAAAATAAAGAGGAGGATTGGTGGCAGGTGTTAGCTCAGGGCTAATCTTCCTAAAAACAAACAAACAAACAAACTTATCATCCAACATCCATTCTCCACGGGGCTTTCCCTCCTGAAAGCAGGAGAGGAATGAGTTAATGCCAGATGGTGTGTGCATTGGTGTCTCTTCCTTCCTGGCCTCAAGAGGGTCAGAATCCTGTCTCCAGGTCTGACTTGCTGTGTGATCTTGAGCATGACAGCCTCGCCGGGTTGTCTTACCTGACACATGAAAAGAACACGATTTGCCTTCCAAGGCTCAGGATTACACTTGTCCACATTCATGAAGCTTCTGGCATGAAGCAGTTCCTTAAGAAACGTTGGTATGTATCTTCCCAACCTCCAGTGCCATCAGGTACTTCCTCTTTCAAAATCTCCTCTGAATCCTTTATTCCCACTGACGTGTTGGTGCCTAACAATAATTTTAAGGTTACCCCCCCAGGGGAATTTTAGCAAGGAACTACTAAAGAAAAAATAAAGTGGAGTGTTAACAATGGAACTTCTGTCAACAGCTGAGGCTGAGAAAATACTTGGCGTGTGCCGGGCGCGAGGTGGAGGCTGGAGGACGGGGGAGGGAGGCGCGGGCCCTTTTCAGGTAGTTCCCCCACCTTGGCAGCAGGTGAGAAAAACCCAGCGTTGGAGGGGCTGTTGCAACCTACTTGGAGTGTTTGGATTAAATTTTCTGGATGAAAAAAAGGCTGAGAAATAGGGATTCCAAGCAAAGGAGAACCATGAGTCATAAGAAGGGAGAAGTCAGGCCGGGAAGCTGCTAACAACACACTCACATGGCCTCAAAAAGTAGTTTAAGGGTTATCAGGGGTGAGTGGAAGGGCCTTTGAACCTGCCCCTTGGAACATGTGGTCACTGAGCTGAGGTGGGGGTGTTTTCGCCTGCCCTGTGCTGGGGAATTGACTGTCTTTTCCTCTTGGAGACCAAGGAGAAAAGACGAACAATTGGAGCCCAACTAATAGACTCGAAGAACATTAAGGCCGGGAGAGGTCTCAGCGATCATCCTGTCCTGCCCACCATCGGACAGAGAGTAAACCGAGGACCAGAGAAGAGAAAATTGGTGGCCAGCAGCTCTCAGCTGAACTGGCACTTTCTCTAACAAATATTCTCTAACCTTCTCTAAGTCCCTGGGCCTTTCGCCCACTTAGAAAATGGGAGAAGAGTTCTCTGGGAGCATTTTTTTTTTTTTTGAAGAAGATTAGCCCTGAGCTAACATTCACTGCCAATCCCCTCTTTTTGCTGAGGAAGATTGGCCCTGAGCTAACCTCTGTGCCCATCTTCCTCTACTTTATACGTGGGACGCCTGCCACAGCATGGCTTGACAAGTGGTGCATAGGTCCACACCCAGGATCTGAACTGGTGAACACTGGGCCACTGAAGGGGAACACACAAACTTAACTGCTATGCCACTGGGCCAGCCCCAAATTTGTTCCTTTTTGGGTGAGGAAGATTGACCCTGAGCTAACATCTGTTGCCAATCTTCCTCTTTTTGCTTGAAGAAGATTGGCCCTGAGCTAACATCTGTGCCAACCTTCCTCTATTTTGTACATGGGACACCACCACAGCATGGCTTGATGAGCACTCTGTAGGTCCACACCCAGGATGCAAACCTGTGAACCCCAGGCCGCCAAAGCAGAGCATGTTAACTCAACCACTATGCCAGCAGGCTGGCCCCAGGGAGCGTTTGTTCTGTCTGGCTCTAGAATAAGATCAGCCCCAACATTTAGAGATAAAAACATGAACCATCAACACCACAGTCACAATCATACACATGAGAATGGTGGTTAGGCATACCAGGAGGGAACGCTAAAAAAATGGAGCAGCTGACTTATGAAAGTCATTGGGTTATGGTGATTTTTCTTTTTGCTAAACTTTGCTTTATTATTGCTCTAGAGTTGTTTGCAAAATAAACCTCTTGAGTTGAGAGCTCACATGATCGTCTTCATCTCAGGTTTGCTCACTGTATTTGCTGCCATAACAAATTAATGCAAATTAAGTGCCTTGAAACAACACAAATTTATTCGCTTGCAGTTGTATAGGTTGGAAGTTCTATGGGGTCTCACGGAGCTAAAACCAAGGCACAGGTGGGACTGGTTCCTGTCTGGATGCTCTGATGGACAATCCATTTCCTTCCCTTTTCCAGCTTCTAGAAGCTGCCTGCATTCTTTTTTTTTTTTTTTTGTGAGGAAGATTAGCCCTGAACTAACATCTGCTGCCAATCCTCCTCTTTTTACTGAGGAAGACTGGCCCTGAGCTGACATCTGTGCCCATCTTCCTCTACTTTATATGTGGGATGCCTGCCACAGCATGGCTTGATGATGGATATGTACGTCCACGATGAGGATCCAAACCAGCAAACCCCGGGCCCTGAAGTGGAGCACGTGAACTTGACCGATACGCCACCGGGCCAGCCCCTGTATCCTTTGACTTGTGGCCCCTTCTCCAATCTTTAAGGCTGGCAATGTTGCATTTATCTGGTCATTCTTCTGCCATCACATCTCTTTCTGACTACAGCCAAGAAACCTTTACCAATTTAAAAAATTTATGTGATTAGATTGGGCACTTGTAGATAATTCAGGATAATTTCTCCCTCTCGAAGTCTGTACCCTCAACCACATTTGCAGAGTTCACTCTGCCACGTAAGGTACCACCTAGTCAAGGGTCCCATGGCTTAGGGTGTGGACATCTTTGGAGGCCATTATTCTGCCTACATACTCTTTTTTTTCTCAGTGGTCTCTCTAAGAGTGCATTTTCCCACCTTCGCAGAAAAGAGCATTTTCATTGTTATAGGAAATATGGCTAAACAGAATTTTTTCAAGGACTTTAAATCTTTTTATTCTTAATTCATTTTTATATTCTGAATATTTATATACAGAAAAGTACATAAATCATGAAGTTACAGCTTGTTTAATTTTTGTAAACTGACGACACCATGTAATCAGTACCCAGATAAAGAAATAGAATATGCCCTAATGGGCCTGCTCATGCCCTCTTCAAGTCCAAAATATAACTCGACACTGGTTGACATTTAAAAATTCCCTATGTGGACAATACCTGGAGTATTACTGAAATAAAAGGAGAGAGCCCAAGCAATGTTCATTTCTTCATTCAACAAATGTTTTCTGGCATCTGCCCTGGGCTGGATGCCAGGAAAAGTGGGATGAGTTGGCTCAACGCTGGTTCTAGGGCACAGAATCTGCGGAGGTAACCCTGTGTGTGTGGGACGCGTGCAGGAAAGGGAGTTTGTGAAGCAGATAAGAACACAAATGCCTTGGCCAAGCCTAACCAGAAGCAGGGCAGGGGCTAGAGAGGGAGGGAAGTTGTCGTTTTTGGTAGGGTGGTCAGGGAAGGCTCTTTGAGGAGGCGACACAGGAACCCAAAGGTAATGAGGAAGCAAGTTTTACAAGGATGGGAAGACCGGAAGGGGGGTGGCGCCTGAGGAAGGACCTTCCCTGATGGGTCTGGGTCTGAGGAGTGGAGGCCAAGGTGACTGCCGGGGGAGGATGTTGGAGACTTAGCTAGTTGGGACCCCCCAGCACTCTCTCCATCTCCATCTCCCGGTTCCTGAAAGTGAGCCACCAGGGGACCTCCGGCTGCTTCTCTTGGGTCTTCCTCTATCAGCAGAGGCCCGCACACGGATGGATGCCGGGCGTTGGCCATCAGAACCAGTGCCCAGCTGACCTCTTACCTCCCCGCCCCTCAACCCCCCGCTCATACCTAATCAATACTGGCAAAGACCTCCATTGTACAGTTGAGGAAACCGAGGCTCAGAGCCCTTCTCAACACCCTGCACAGTGCCAGGCAAAGGAGTCAGCGGGGACGGGAAGGACTTTGCCATCGTGCCCCCCAGTAGACCTCTTTATGGAGGGGGGTTCACCTCTTTCTCGGTTCTGCGGACGAAGTTTCCAGAGGAAACTGGACTTGGCAACTTGATGGAGGAGTGGAGGGTGACGACGAGGACGGCGGGGAACAAAGTCACTCCTGCGCTGGGCAGCGGCGGGAGGGTGGGGGGTGGGGGGACAGGTCCCGAAGGGGCGATGGGAGGGGCCAAATTGCTGGAGGGGTTTCAGGAGCAGAGGTCGGTCTAGGGGAGGGCCGTGGGGGAAGGGCCTGGAGAAGGTGGACGCAGGTCTGGAGGGGCCAGGGTGGGTGAAGAGACGATGGACGAGCGGTCAAGGCGGGATCCCGTGAGCCTTTAGAGGAAGAGCGTGGCGGGCGTCGGAGGCCGGCGGAGGCCCGCTGCCTGGAAATGGGCGGGGCCATAACGGGCCGGGGGTGGAGGAAGGGACCCGGCCGGCTCGGACTGTGGCCCGAGGAAGCCGGGCCGGGGCGGGGCCATGTCGGTCCGAGGCGGGGTTGGAGGTGACGGGGGCGGGGCCTGGGGAGCCGGGAGCCGGTCAGGGCGGCCGGGAGGTGAGTCAGGAGGTGGCCAGTGGCGGCGGGGGGGCGGAGCCTTGGGCAGGGGCGGGGCCTGGGGAGCCAGGAGCGGGTCAGGGCGGCCGGGAGGTGAGTCAGGGGGTGGCCAGTGGCGGCGGGGGGGCGGAGCCTTGGGCAGGGGGCGGGGCCTGGGGAGCCGGGAGCCGGTTAGGGCGGCCGGGAGGCGAATCAGGAGGTGGCCGGGGGCGGCGCCTTGGGTAGGGGGCGGGGCGGGCGGCGGCTCGGGCGGGGCCGGGGCGGCCCGGGGGTGGGGCCGGGCGGGGCGGTGGCGGCCCGGGGCGCGCGGGCGGCGGCGGCGGCGGCGGCGGCGGCGGCGCGGAGGTGCGCTCGCCTCTCTGGGCTCCGCGGGCGGCGGCGGCGACGCGACACAAAGGTGGATTGTGGCCTCACTGGTGCTGGCGGCGGGCGGCGGCGGGGCGGGCGCGGGGGCGGCGGGGCGCGCCGGGGCCCCGCGGGCGCGGCGCGGGCGATGAGCCGGGGCCCGGCATGGCCTCCGCGCGGCCGCCGGGCCGGGCCTGCGCCTCGGCGCCCGCGCCCGCGGGGATCCGGGCCGGGCCGCCCGCCCTCGCCGCCCCTGCCGCCGCGTCCCCCGAGCCTGCGGGCGGCGCCGAGGCGGAGGAGCGCTCGCTGCAGCACATGCTGCGCGCCATAGCGGAGGAGCGCGGCCGCCTCAGCCTGCGCCGCGAGGTCTGCGGCCTCGGTGAGTGGGGCGGCCGCGGCCGGAGCGTCGCGGTGTGCGCGTCCCCGCTGTCTCTGCGCGTGTCTCCCTCTCTGCGTGTCTCTCTGCGTCTCTGTCCCTGCGTGCCTGTCCCTGCGCGTGTCTCCATCTCTGCGTGTGTCTCTGTCTCTGTGCGTCTCGGTCTCTGCGCGTTTCTCCGTCTCTGCGTGTGTCTCTGTCTCTGTGTGTCTCTGTCTCTGCGTGTGTCTCCGTCTCTGCGTGTCTCACTGCGTCTCTATCTCTGCGTGTCTGTCTCTACGTGTGTCTCCGTCTCTGTGCGTGTGTCTCTGCGCGTATCTCTGTCTTTGCGTGTCTCTGTCTCTGCCCGTGTCTCTGTGCGTCTCTGTCTCTGCGTGTCTCTGTGCGTGTCTCTCGAGCGCCCTGCCTGTCGTGTCCTCCTCCAGAAGCCCCCAGGTCCCCGCGTCTGGGTCTTTCCTGTGCCGGTGTCTCCGTCTCTGATTTTGGTTCCAAGAGCGGCCCCTCACGCTCGTGTCCCTGTGTCTTTTTCTGTTTCCCGGGTCACTTGGTGTCTCCCGCTGTCCGTCTGTGCGGGTGTCTGTCCGTCCCCTTCCTCCCTCTGCGTGGCTTTGCCGGCCCCCTTCCTTCCGCAGGAAGCCCTTTCTGGGCTCTCGGTGCTGCTGCAGAGAGTGTGGGCGCTGGATTCGGGGAGACAGCCCGTGGGCAGGGCCAGGGCCCCGGGGCGCTCGGGCGGACCTCCCTGCAAGCGAGTCCGGCCGCCGTCCCCAGCTCACGAGGAGGGCCGTGTCTCCGGCTTCCTGAAGCCTTTGTCTCCCCTCGGCACCGGCCAGTTCTGCTGTCCCTTCGCTCTGACTGGAGACCTGTTGGGCGGTGGCCCCCTGAACCCACCCGCTTGGCGGAGGGAGCAGGGCCTGCACCCCCCTGGGTGTGATCTGCTCTGAGCAGGCCTTAAGTCGCGCGTCTGCTTGGTTGGGTCGGTTGGGGGCCCTGGTATTGTTTGAGGAGCCTGGAACTGCAGGTGTGGGTGGGGTCTCCGGGCTCGGCTGGGTGTGAGGTAATGCTCTGATGGATCGTGCCCAGACTGAAGCAGGAGGAGCCCCCTCCTGTAGTGTCGGGTTTGTCATTTTCTCCAGGAGAGACCCCTCCCTTCTTCACGCGGGAATGACTTCATACCACATTGTCAGCCCTCCCCCGCCCCACCCTCATCCCCAGGCTGGGCTGGGGATTCCTGAGGGGGCAGCTGCCTTGTGGAGAAGGCAATGAAGCCTTGGAGAGTCTACCAGTCCCCCCCTTCATTCACCCTTGGGGAGACTGAGTCAGGTCACATGGCAGCAGGGACTGGGCAGCCCCAGGCATCCAGGCCCCTTGGCAGGCCACACCCTGGAGGCTGGGGTGGGGAGAGGAAATACATTTGAGTCCTCCTTTTTGTGGGAGGCAGGCTTAGCTGAGACATTTCCCCAACAGTCCCTCAGTGAGCGGGTCGCAGCCCAGCCTGCCCAGGAATGCAGTTTCCTCAAGGGGGGATGGACGTGAGGGTGGGGGTGCCTAAAGCTGGGGATGGACGACGACATAGTTTTCTCTTGTTTCTTTTCTGAAAAGGTGCTACGACTTAGTTTTGAGCAGAAATTAAAGAGTCCTCATTAATTCATTCAGCAATCACTGAGCACCTACTGGGTGCCAGCTGCATGCCAGGCCCACCTGCCACCTGGCACAGGATGTCTGGAAGGGGAGGGGTCTGAGGGACCATCTGCTCCAGGCCCCTCAGCCCTGTTCGCTCAGCGGCTCCAGGCAGCCCCTCGCGCCTCCCCTGTCAACACGTTCCTGCTGTCCTCTGACCTCTGCGCGGCTTCTCTCCCCTGTAAGACAGTCCCTACCCCAAGGAGCCAGCAGGGCCATCCCCTAAGAACAACAGTCATTTGTCCTCGCACCTGGCATTTACTGAGCACTTACTCTGTGACAGGTGCTTTGTGCAGACTCTCTCAGTTTGATACTGACTTTGCCAGATAGGAATAGCGTCTCCATCTCACTGACCAGGAGCCTGAGGTTCAGACAGGCAAGAGACTTGCCCAGGGACAGCCAGTGAGAAAGTGGCACAGCTGGGATGGACCCTTGGTCAGTCTCACCCCAGAGCTGGCCCCACCCCAACCCTGCCCCGCCCAGGTGTCCCCAGCCTGGCCTTGCTGTGCCTATGGCGCTGCTTCTGGGGAGGAGAACAGGCCCAGAGTAGGTAGAGAGCAGAGCCTGGTGGTCAATATTCCCGTGCCCCGCTCCTGGCCTCCGGCCCTCCCTCGCACGCTGGTCCCCCTGTCTCACCCCCTGCCCTTCCTGCACTCAGTCCCTGTAGTGCTCTGAGGCCCTGTGCTTTTGTGCCTCTTCTCTTCTCTGCCTGGAACACCAGCCCCTCCTCACCTGCCCTGCAGACGCCTGCAGGTCCCTTCAAACCTCGGCTCCGAGGCTGCAGCTTGGGAGCCCTTGCTCCGTGCCCTGGTCGCTCGCTGCCTGCACGCTCATGTATCGGGTGCATTTCGGCTGGATGGTCTGGATGATTGTGGCATTGTAATGGTCTGTGTGGCTGTCTCCCCAGTTACCAAGTGAGCCCCTCGAGGGCACTGCCTAGTTTGAGTCTCCTCAGGGCCCAGTAAACATTTAGCAAACGAATGAGAGGTTAATTTCTGGACTGGGAAGTGAAGGGTGTGGATGGCCAAGGAGCGTGGAATCTTAATCTCTTAGAAGGCTTCACCTTGGCCATCTCTTATGCTTCAGAAGAGAAATGTGATGTTCAGAGCGGGGTAAGCTTAAGAGTGACTTGCTACTCAAAGTAGAGTTGGGCCCAAGTGGTTGGCCCGGGCACCCAGCCGTGAACCTAGAACGCTGGCCCAGAGCCCTTGTACGTCCCGTGGATCGTGGAAGCCGCTCATCTCCACTCTCCAGCTCTGACAGCCTGTTCCATTTATGAATTAAAGCTCCCAGGTTTTTGTTGTTGTTGTGTAATTGAGGCTTGGGTTACTCAGAGCCCTGCCACGTCCTCTGAGGTTGTTTTGAAGGTGTAAGGGAGCCTCTCGTGGAAGAACTTGACCCTGGACAAGCTGTTGTCATTTCTGAATCACAGTGTCTGTCTAGGAGACGGAGGAAAGCGACTGGCCCCCCCACTCGGGGGTCGTCACTTGCCTGTCATGATCAAAGGCACTGTGTAGAGCCAACCTGACTTCTGAATCTCGTCTACTGCAGCCTCGGTGGTGGAAGCATCTTTTTGAGCACTTGCTCTGGGCCAGGTGGGGACATGGGCCCTGATCCCTGCCCTGTAGGAGGGTGCGGTTGAGCAGGGAGAGAAGCCAGGTACACAGGTGACTTAGCCAAAGTGACACCTTCCTGGAGGCAACCGAGCTGTGGCTGCCCCAAGCAGGGTCTCGGTGCTTTAGCCGCAGGACACTGCTTGTGGCTCCAGGGACCAGAGGGACCAAGCTGGTGGGGTGAGGCAGCTGCTTTGGGCCTCCAGAATCTCTGAGCTGGGAAGAGTCAGGTCCAGTGCCCAGATGTTGTGTGGTACAGACATCTGGACCAACGGTGGACATAGCCTGACACTTCCTCCTGGGCCCTGGGCCCAGCCCAGGCGTGCTGTGCAGGCGGCTCCCTTTCAACAGGGGCAGCACGTCTGACATTCAATCAGACCACGTGGCCATGACCTGGCCCCAGGACCTGGTGTGGGTCATGGAGAGGTGCCGTGAGGGGAGGGGCCCACCTCAAGGTTGTCTTTGTGCTGGCCTGGGCAGGGCATTTTTTTTTTCAGAAATTTACTTCATTGATGGAGCGCTGATTCCAGCAGACCTAACCCCAGCAACATATGGACACGGACATATTTTGTATAGCAGTTTTGTCAAAGAGGAGGAATGAAACGAACAGGAAATGGTAGTTATGCTCAGATATGTTTTCTCATCTCTCTCTTCTATTTTGTGTTTGCCACCTTTTTCAACAAGCCTGTCACCTGCTGAATCAAAACCCAACACTTGGGGCTGGCCCCGTGGCCAAGTGGTTAAGTTCGTGCGCTCTGCTGCAGGCGGCCCGGTGTTTCATTGGTTTGAATCCTGGGCGCGGACATGGCACTGCTCATCAAACCACGCTAAGGCAGCGTCCCACATGCCACAACTAGAAGGACCCACAACGAAGAATATACAACTATGTACTGGGGGGCTTTGGGGAGAAAAAGGAAAAAAAAATAAAATCTTTAAAAAAAAAAACCCAACACTTCTTCTCGAGGGCAGACAAATCTTCCTGGGCCCTGCCTTTCTCCTTATCTTTGCTGGGTACTAATGTACAAACGTGTGTCTTGGACACACATCTCACTTACATAATACAGTGGAACCCAGGCTTCCACAATGGCAGTGGTGTGGCTAAGCAAGAAATCAGCTTACTTGACAAACATCTCCCCCTAACAGTCTCTTACGGTCCTTTTTATTTCTGAGAAATCTGTTACATTGTCTCCTCTTTCACTGCTGATTTTATTTGACTCTTTGCTCTGTTTTTCCTGGTCAAGCTAAGGGTTTGTCTATTTTTCTTCTCAAAAAACCAACTCTTATTTTTATTTTTTTCTATTTTTCTACTCTCTATTTGATTTATTTCACTCTAGTCTTTTATTTTTTTTAAAGATTGGCACCTGAGCTAACAACTGTTGCCAATCTTCTTTTTTTTTTTTCCTCCCCAAATCCCCCTGTACATAGTTGTATATTTTAGTTGTGGGTCCTTCTAGTTGTGGCATGTGGGACGCTGCCTCCACATGGCCTGATGAGAATGTCATGTTCTACTCCTGTCTTTATTGTTTCCTTCCTTCTGAAAACTTTGGGCTTAGTTGTTCTTCTTTTCTTAGTTCCTTGAGGTGTAAAATTGGTTTGTTTATTTGAGGTCTTTCTTTTTTTTGCTGAGGAAGATTCGCCCTGAGCCAGCATCCATGCCAGTCTTCCCCTATTTTTTAGTATGTGGGCCACCAGCACAGCATGGCTGCTAATGGA